ACCACAAAAACCACCATCAACTATATTTTTATGCCTTAAGCTCAGGAGTTTTTTTTTCACTGCTGGTCGGATTTGTGTTTAATCGCTTCCCTTGACAATGCCTGTAAACTGGCATTAAATTAAAATTTATTTATTTATTTATGATGTCGCGGAGGTCGGTGGCGATGTCCATTGGGAGTGCTGCCACAACATAGTGAAATTTCGTATCCTCTCGTGTGATCTGACGGAGGGCGAATCGTGACTCTACAGTGCGCAGCCATAACGCGATGTCACCGAGCCACACGGATGGCAGGTCAAAAGTGTGAATGCCGGCTATCGGCTGGCTGCTAGAATCCCTGGACATAATTAGCTGGGGTCGGTCAGAGGTCACATAAACGGGGTAGAGGACTGGCGCCTTGACGGTGAGACTGAAGGGTAGCGCTCGTATTGGATGAAAGGGTGAGACAGTGTGGATAGCAAATAAGGGCTAGATGAATAATCTGATCGATAAAAATTAGAGGGAGGATTAATCCGAATGGAAATAGCTATGCACAGAGATTAAACAGAAGGAGCTATGAACGATACAGTGTCACCAGTGTAAGAGACAAACCCACTAGTTGGGACCAGCGAGTAGGCTATCCAGGATACGAAAATAGCAGTATCCCAACAGTTACAAACTAGTAAATAAGAACAAAGTCGTCGGCAGGTAAAAGTGCACGTGCGTGTTGTTTGTCTTATTCAAAGTTGTGTCGAAGCGTATTGTAACTGATTAAAACAAAACAGACTTAAATGTCACTACAAGGTGATAAGACAAGTTTATTTGTGAAACTCGAACCGAAGTCCTTCGTGGTGAAGAATTCCGAGAGTGGAAAAAACATTATGGGACAAGGAAGTTTGGCAGGACCAAAAGACATTAATGGTGGCATTGTTAAGGGCACGATAGTCTCCATGGTCTCCAGTCACCCGACATCGCCTTCGGTCGGGTAACGGTCCGTTGCAGCATATGCTCGGTTTCCGCCTTCGCGGCCTGCTGGCGAGCAGGCGCCAGTCGTCTATGCCGAGCGAACACAAGAGGACTTGACGTGCGGATATGATGTACAACATCATGCTCTACCTCGCTACTGCGAAGCTGCGGGTTGGTGATGTTCGGATGTTGAAGCAACAACTCCCGACAGGGATAAGCAATACCTTTATCCAGGACAAATACGTTTCAGGGAGTTGTCAAGAGGCTAAAGCCGCGAGCAGACAGACCAGGTGTACGGTCGAGGAAACAAAAACTGTGGCAGTCAACAAGGAGATCGAACTCCGCAAGAAAATCCGGGCAGAGGATTGCGTGAGGGATATCAGCAATCACAAATATGCACGAGAAAGACCAACAAACGCCAATGTTTAGAGTGAAGGATAGGCTGCCAAAAGTTGGAATGGGGTGATAGTTAGCAGGTTGGAAGTGAACACCAGGGCTGGGGAAATGACGATCGGATAAAGTGGGAGGAACAAAGGTGATTTGGGCTACGTTTTCCCCTAAAAAAACGTCTGCTTGTCACACTGTCGCAGACATAAAAGGTGCGACCGGAGCCGGAAGAGCCAGAGAATACAGTCGCCTCTATTTTTTGGTTGATTGGTTTCACTGATTGGACCTGAATGAGCAGATGAGGAACATCGACCAGTCTTCGCATTGGAATTGATACGATACCAACAAATATCGGCTATTGGAGGTCGCGAATGGAAACGACGACGGCTAGATTAGCGACTAGACGTAAGGTGTGCGAGCTGGAATTTTAAGGATGCCTTTTTTTCTCTCGTTGCCGACATATGCGCTGCAATCTGCTCAATTGGTGTCTGTGACGAGAAAATGGAGAGCTGAGCGACAGAGGGCGGTTGAAATCGTTACCCCTCCAGCATCCTGTCCGCAATCTCGGCTAGCCGTGAGACCGAGAGATCTTCTGAGGCAGATGCCGGAATGGTTTGAACATCGGCTGGCAGACACCACCGATTTGGAGCCCACCACGAAGTCCTTGCATCCGTATAAGAAGTTCGGCGGGCCTTCGGTCGTCCAAACATTCCTCGCGAACTAGCCGGAGATACCGCTGGCGATCAGACGCAGAATGAAGTCGAAGGAGTGTTGCCTTAGGCCGCGTGTATAGTTGGGGAGCTGTGGAACCCTGGATCATTGCTTATACCTGGAAAAGAATCTGTAACGCCAAAGCCTGAAACATCATGAGTAACTTGATAACGTCATTGGTAAAAACTTAACTCAGTGTGGAGGAAGTAGAGTTCAGGTGCTTTCGTTCAGAAGGCTGGTAGTGTTTGGAATACCTACACCCCCAAAACAAGGGCCAGCCAATCACTGCAGGCCAAGTGATTTTTATCTTGCACGCCGTCAACACGATGATGGCGCCACGCCATTGGCTGCTTCCATCGAGTCTGATCGGTCCGCTAATGCGAGAAATCGATCAGCTTAACTAGAATTTTCTTTTCGAAGTGCATTGGACCGAATGCAGGCGAACTCCAGTATGGTGTTATAAATACGCGTCACTTTTCCAATTAGAATTGCTTGCAGTTTCCTAACAAACTTTTTCGTGGCCGGTCGTGCTCATCTTCTCTGCCGCATTGGTATTGGGGACATCAATCGAGCTCGCATACGCTCCGCGTGATTCCTAAATACCAGGCCGGATCATAGCAGGTAGATATAATGTTACTGCGCCAATAGAATCGCCTCCACTAGGAGAAGCATCCGTAATAACTGTTGCTGTGGCATGAGTTGAGTGAAAGTGTACGCGAGGAAAGAACAAACACGTACTGCACGACGGCTGGCTGACTATTGTCGGCGAGTGGAAAGGCGTGAAAAGGCGGGACACGCACTCACTCAGGGGTCGCCACTTCAACAAAAGTGAATAAATGCAAGTTCAAGAAATGGTTGAAAAAAAGAATAACTATAAAAAGTAGCGCATAAACAAAACGTGACAAAGGGCTGCCACAAGTCCTTTCATCTAGGTTTCGTCGAGAGTTTGCAGTCTAGTATGTTATTATGTCGAAGAGATCTTAATTCGTAGATGGTTACCTCATAGTCCGCAATCGAACTTGTTTTCTAGGGCAGTGGCAATAACCACGTTTCTTCAAATTGTCGTTGCTCCAGGTTCATATGTGAAGATATGAATACTTTTCACTAGGCTGACCACTCTGATTTATTAGCCACAGGAATGCTAAGTCATTTCAGATAATTAAATTTGAAACACTGGAGCAGAACACGAAAAGAAAACTTATCAACTACGAATCTCCACCCATGTCATGCGTAGGATACTGACGCTCTTAGATCAGTGATTTGATGGTCAGAAATAATGAGAGGCAAGTTAACGGGTTTGGCTATTGAATTTGTGCTGACTCCGGCCTCAGCTTTTTATTCACGCGTTGTACGTACAATTTGGTGTCTGCTCTAGTAGCTGAGGTCCAAAAGTGAAGCAAATCCCGTCATGACCTACTTTCAGCTTTCTTGCCTACAGAAGTCTTGTAAACGACTCCACCCCTCATGCTCCAGAGGACGGCCTGTTCACGATCTCTTATTTTGGTACCGAATCTTGATTGACTGATTTTGGTACCCTCCTACGAGCTTTATATGGAGACTATCTTTAGAAAACGTAGCCGAATCCGAATTAAGTCTTTTTTTAACTTGGAAGCCAAATAATGCGTGTATAGCGGCCACGGCGGCTTCACACCTACACCCTTTTGTTTGTTTAACTGTTTGGATAACTCAAATAACTCACCGGTCCGGTTTTCGCGTCAGAGGCTCCCTGTTGATTTTGAATTTGGGTGCTATGTTGACCCGGAGCAGGCTTGGTGTTCCCGCCGTCCATGTAAGTTTATGTAGTCTGTGCGCCTATGTTTCTGATCTGGTAAAATAGATGGCAGCAGGTTCAGCTTCACTTCTGGGATCTAGATCTTATTTTATAGCCTGTTCTACCTCTGGATGGTAGAACTTCTGCTTGGAAGCACAATTAGTCAAGTGACTTTGTCCCTCTGTTCCTGTGTATGTTGAGACTCTGCGGCTCGAGTTATGTTATCAGGGCTCATGTCTGAGTCCGAAAGCGAGGCCATGACCGGTTTCGCGTTTCATACCATCCCAGACCTCTGTGAAGACGGGGTGCACGCGTCCAGCGATCGCTTGCATTAACACCTTGGAGGCTCCCACTTTACGTTCTGAATGTTCCCTAACTCCAAAGTTAGGGTGATCATATTAGAGTCATGGCGGCGTGCTTCCACCAGTGATAGCGACTAACTTCGACATTATATGGTGGTGCTATGCCGCAAAGGAGACAATCCTGGACCTGTTTTATGATAAGTCATGAAAATGTGCATGTCTTTGCACGGTAGACCTAGCCTTTGAATGGCCGCCCATCATAGTATAACGCCCATGGTCACCGTCAAGTGAGGAAAGTCGATAATGTAATCCTGGAAGCTTATATCTAAAAGGTGTCTTAAAATGACTCAGTACCCGTTACAGCTGTTTCACCGTTCAATGTCTCCCATTTCCTTTATCTCCAACATACCCAGGCCTTGAATTTAAGTCCGTTTATTTGTCGCACTTGCTCACACTTTTTCCGTAATTACAGCGGGATGAAAATGTAGGCACATTTGCGAAGTCATTCGATACCACCAAAGCCAACACTCAAGCCAGTGTGCATACAAGGTCACGAGCCGCTCTAGGAGAGCTGCAAAACGTTGAATCCTTGCCCCACAAGCCCTTTAAGAAGCCCGACGCACCCCAAGCACCTGCTCAGCAGAATCAGGAATCTCCGCGCAATCTGCAATCTGTACTTAATGCCAGGCTTAAAGACCTCACACAGGCAGAAATAAATGCGCTACAAGCCTTCTGCCAACGACGAAAGGCCATAAGATCGACGTTACTCACCGGTGAGAACTCATCTGTCTACATGGATGTTGACAAGGACTCGGCACGTGACGCGGCTTCAGTTTCAGTGTTTGCCGAGACCATCTTCAACTATCTACAAATTGAAGAGCTGCGGTGTCAGCCACTCTCCTCTACCTTTCTATCTGCCTGCACAGAGATAAGTCCAAGGATGAGATACATCCTAGTTAACTGGTTAGTTCAAGTGCACCAGAGCTATAAACTCCAACCCGAGACTTTGTATTTATGCATTGCGATCATGGATCGTTACTTACAGGTAGATCCTCGACTTCCTGACAGTACTTGTCGTAGAAATGTGGTTCCGGAATCACAAAGGACCTCTTCCAGTTAGTTGGTATCACGGCTCTTTTTATCGCCTCAAAATTCGAGGAGATGTACCCACCAGACATTGGCGATTTCTCATCAATAACCGATAATACATACAGTAAACGCGATATCCGTACATGCGAGCAACTAATCTTGCAATCTCTGGATTTCTACTTGTCGATCCCTTCCCCCATCGTGTTTTTGCGTCGCATATCCCGAGCGCTTGAGGTAAACACATTTCAGTTCCTAACCCAGATAGGCTGACAGGCGAATGCACAATCTATCAAAGTACTTCCTTGAACTTACCATTCAAGAGTATGATCTGGCCTACTTGCCAGGGAATCTAAAAGCCGTGGTCGCCGCTTGCCTTTCCCTCGCGGTTTGCGCACACTCGGACAACATCGACGATGTCTGGAACGACAAGCTTGCTTATATTAGTGGATATTCCATCGACGATGTCCGTGGACCCGTCAAAATCCTAGCTAAGGCGGTGTATCGTCAAAATTCTCCATCTAAGTACAGGGTAGGTTACTATACTCTCTTATTCTCTTAGGCTATATACGATAAGTATCGTCTGGACGATTTATACGACAAAGTGGCAGCCCTACCTCAACTGCGCTCTGCTATGATGGAAGCACTTGCGGACCTGAAATTTGACGAAGACGGGACCGAAGTCGTTGCTTAAACTTTTCGCTGTGCTCTCCCGAACGTCTTTGAACCTCGGTGTTTTACAATCACCACATTTATACTGATTTCTTAAACGTGATCTGCTCATCCCCAATTACTCTTTTTTTTAAAGCCCTTCCAATTCCCATTTTAAAACCAGTCTTTACTGATTGTCAATGCCCGACTCAGGCTGAAAAGCAAACTGGGGCTTGTTAGTACTCCCATGCTGAGATTTAATCCAGCCGAAGCTGATTGTTGTGTATCTACCAAATGAGCAGCCTTATAAATAAACATTATTTATTATCTCAGTGCTTACTGTTTGTCGGTGAAAACCCCAACGATTCGGGCACGGAACACCCAATCGCCATACCTTGCCTTCTATGCCTCGTGCATAGCAGCTTTGCCTAATTTCGCGTTAAAGATCATAATCATTGCTAGCCAACGTGATCTAGTGTTGCCGTCAAAATCCTCCGTGTTCTGGTTTTCTTAGTAAGTCTTTGATGGGCGACAGCTGCGTATTCGGTTAAACTTTGCACGTTTCCCTCAGCGTGCTTATACTCCAACTGCAATGCTGGCTTCGCACCAGTTTGACAATTTAGCCTCTTGGCGGTACTTCCTCGTAGCCTTTCCCATTCAGACTATGGCGTAACCATAAAGTCTGGAGATAGGCTTATATTAGCGACTTTAATGCCTTTGTACCGACGAGAACGACACAGCCTACTTATTTTCTATTGCACTCGTAAGTCGCTGTAATTGGAAGATGAGGTAGTGTGAAAGCAGCTAGTAGACCCTAGGACAATCCGGAACCGTCGAGACTGCCCAGCTCTGTCGAGCAATGACGTGTCTGGGATGAGTCAACGGAGGCGCGTTTGGAGCGTTTCATAAAAGCCGTCCGGGGTCTTTTTGTGGCTAAGCTCGGGATAAGTGCAAACGGGCCGGTTTCAGACAGTCAAATTGCCATTCATGGTCTTGTAAAGGAGCCCGTGATGCATTTATTCGAACGCTGTACACGGCACGTCCTGATCAACAACGATTCACCACAGCTTCCTAACAAGATGCTTCCTGACGGCCATTGCTAAAAATCGTCGTGGCCTAGGAGTGTCACACTTGACTTTTGTACTGGTTCTCGTGCATGACTCGCAATATGCAGTGTTCGATATCGTGCAGCCATATGCGGACGTTACGATGAAGTAAGCCAGCTTGCGTAGTCGGTACCTCCCTCACTCTACATACTGCCACTTGGTTATCGATGTAACAATGCCTTTAATGCGTTGAATTTCTCAGCTGATAGATCAGCATATTTCAGTAAATACCTTGGCGCGAAGAGTGCGCCTAACTGGTGTTTGGAAAATGTGACCAACTTCACGTACAGTTTTATGCGCGAGCGAGGATGTGACGGTACGTCAAGTGGGCCCACTCGTTGCGTTATTCGGAAGAACTTTGCAGAGGTAAACTCCCACTAACGGAATACCCATCCCAATTGTCCGAGCAAGTTGCTTTTAGCATCATTAACCACCCTCTTTGTGATGCGTGCCTACCTGACCTTTCACACTAGTGAAGTCATCGGGAATAGACGAAATAACGCTTTGACGCACATCACCTTCTACCCACCAGACTCCAGTGCCCGCGCAGGCATTGCAATTTTAACGCTGCCCAACCTACGGCGTCCGCGACATTCCACTTAACAATGAGGGTGATAAATATATAACCCGGGCACGACAGCATAAATATTGGCACAAGTTGAAGCGAACTTTCTTTGCCCCCGAGATATGCACGTCAGTTCATGGTGTCGAGCACAAACGCCCGCTTTTGAATCTACAAGCATTGTCACGAAATGTGACTGGAACTACTGCAAATAAGCCTCCTGAAATATGACTTACGCAGACCGCTGTCGCTGACTATTCTGCCTGCCAACCTTTCAGGCGTCAGGTCCAGAAAAAAAGAAATATATGTTGGATGAATGGCGTGTTGTGCATTTTGGGAATGATACGATGGAAGGAGAAGGCTCTTCGGGAAGTGAAGTCGTACTCATGAATTTTATAGTTCGTGGCACCAACACGTCAGACGAAATAAACAGAGGAGAAAGGGAGATTGTCGTATTAGACTGATTGACGCAACATGACAGATATACAACTGGTGTATGAGGGGGAAGGACGCATAATTACGACAGGTTTTGGCGCGGGGAACTGTTACGGCTCCCTGCGTCGGAGGGGAAGGGGAATGGCGATTCAGTGGGACTGCATGCGACTGGATTAGTGGTCGCCGATTGGGATGGGGCAGGTGTCGGCACGGTGGTGTTTGGAGTTTGAGTTGTGGTTCACCAGGTCTGGGGGAGGGGTGACGAGACAGCGAGATTCTACATGTCCTAGCATAGATAAACGTCTATTGCAGAGGTATGGACGCAAGTCAGTGAGGCGTGTGCGCAGACCTTAATGAGCGTCGAAATCGACATGGCTGTAGATGCTGGTCACGCTAGTGCCATGCTTCGAGGAATTCTCGCGCCTCTTTGGTGTTAGCCATGGCGATCACTTCAGTACCGTCCTAATCGGAGCGGTGGTTGCACTCAACTGCGTGCACAAATACGAGTGACAAGGGGTCACGTTGGCAGATGGATAAGCTTATTTTCGTTGGTGCGAGTACCAGGATGCCGGCCTGTATGGCCAACACCAACTACTCAGCCACGGGATCGTTGGTCACGATTGGGTGTACAGATAATGGTGGAGGGGCGCTCACCGGTGACGGTACGCGAAATACTCGTCCTGTTGTGCCTTGGGACGCAATCTAGATGACGACTAATAAGCCAGAAATTGCCATTTCAACTTCCCTTGTCGACGGTGTTATTCTGCCTGCATTACTAGCCTTTGTGCGGGTGATGGCGATGCTATGGATTTAGCTTCTGGAGAACGGGACGAAGTATGTCGCCTAACGTGACCGGTGAGCACCCCCTATCATTATTAATATAGCCGATCGCAACCCACAGGACAACGAGCACGTGGCTCAATGGTTTGAGTGTCGGACTTTTAACCAACAGAATGCGGGTTCCAATCTCAGGGGTTATAAGGCCTAGGGTTGAGTATGACTGGTTGCTGACGGCTACTAAGCCAAAATTAGCCGTTTCAGACCTCTGTCGAGGACCTTATTCTGCCTCTAATACTAGCCTCTGAGCTGCTGTTGGCCGGGGCTCGAGGTTGAGCCTCAAAGTACATTTTTTCAAGCGTGGCCAGTAACCCGACTGGTGAACACGTCGTCATATTTACTGCTGGCTGCCTGTTAGTAATTTATGAATTTTACACGGTTATCTCACTGTAGCTGGTGGATTTTGGCTCGAATATTCACGTGGACTTTCGGACTGAGCGTATAAAGCCTTATTACGTCTGATTTACTCCAAGTTTGCAAGTAATTGGGAGGTTAAAAAGCTGAAATTCCAAAGCTAGAGTATCTGCCAAAAAGCTTAAGATAAACGTCGAGGTGATTTCCTGATGGGCTGGACCCCGCGCAGCTGCGACATGCAGCAACAGCATATCAACGATACACGTGTCTTGGCTTTTAGCTAAAACCTGTGCTGTCAGTACGGTAAACCCTGCCATATATACATGGTAGAGGGGCGCTCACCGACCAGGTTAGGAGACATGCCGTGGGGTTCAATCTGGAGCTCGTGTTGGCAGCCGCATGACGACCAGTGTTCTACTCGGAGGAAAACCTGCGGCAAATAATCCACAGGCCAATGTCCATCACTACATGTCTGCTTACCTGCACACATTAGACATGAACCCGTCCCTCATCACTCACCAAAAGCACAGAATCGACAACTCACGCAAGTGAGAATCATGCTCTTTGGCTCCTCTGTGTAGCCTCTATGGGACTCTTGCGCATGTGAGATCCCAACAGTCCACTCCCTTTGCGTGGAAGCCTGGCGTGTTGTGCAGTGCTCCAGGCTATGTGAGTGGCACGCATAGTCAGGCTCTCTAACGCTATCAGCCAATGCGGCCAATCCCCGCATCAGCAGACTGTCCGAATCTAAAAGTGGGCTGGTTGCCTGTGGATGTTTAGAACGAGTGAAGTTAACTCTTTCAGCGCATATGCCTCACTATTCATAACCCGACGCTCCTAAATATATTGCAGTACGCTTAAAACCGCGGGTTGCAAGACTTCCAACTGACAGGATAACTCGATCCTCCCCTTAGGACGCAAAGTGAGGCCGCGATGTGGCCTTCAGGTCACTTCCAATCAGCCGCCTCCCAGCCTTGTTTCGTGAAAGAATTTCTAGTCCTTCGTGGGCAGACCGTTCCCTTTTCGTGTTGGGTAGAATGCTGGTCAGACACATGTTGTGAACTAGGGCGGTCTGGTTGTACGCCTTGGCGCGGGTTCATGCCGTGTCAGATCCCGCCTCCGGTCTTCATGACTCTGCCTGGACGCTTGACCCAGATGGATGGGAAGAAGCGAGTGCGATGAATGTAATGCATGCCTACTATCATTGTAGACTACTCATGCTCAAGTCACCACTCCTGCGCCAACCAACAGCTGACATCGTCGTTAGCGAAGTTTTAAATGTCATTATATACACATGCGGGCATACTGGCAAGAACGAGGGGGACTGCACTCGCCATTTCCGACTTAGCAGCCGTTTTCAGCCAGCCATGCCCAGCTGCAGGTTAGGGATACCTATTTAAATGTCCCATACTCGGTTGGTCCTCGGTCATCACGGCTGAAACCGTCGTTTAGACAGTGAGGAGCTTTCTGTTTTCGTTGCGCCAAACCGGTTGGCAGCCGCAGATGCCAGTTTTCGACACATTGGGAGACACTTTTCACCCGATCTTCGCGATAAGAGCACTGCAAATCAAACTGACTGCATATTTGTTTGAGTATGGTGACCTGCGTGATGCATTTTGCCTACGTTGGCATTGAGCGTATCTTTGTACATGCTCCCATGGGCGTGCGCGAATGCCTCAAACTATGGTACCGAGAAGACGCGACTTGTAAAGGACTAGTGTCATAGCAGCCTCGGAGGACATACCATGG